TAACAATTATCAGATAAAAGGAAGAGGCACAAAGCTGTGCATGTCTTCCTCATTTTTTGTGAGAAAATTGGCCCCGAGCTAACATCTGTTGCCAATCTTCCTCTATTTTGTGTGGGATGCTGTCACAGCATGGCTTGATGAGCAGTGCTAGGTCTGCACCTGGGATCTGAACCTGCATGCGAACCTGGGCCACCAAAGTTGAGTGTGTGAACTTAACCATTAAACCACTAGGCTGGGCCCATACATCTCTTACTTTTAACTAAAAATTGTGTGTGTGTGTATATATATATATACACACACATATATATGCACATATGTATACACTGTAGATTAAAATGTGTACATATAAACAATGACATATTTATGAGAATGTTTACAGGGTATAATTCATTTTATGTAAAACTACAGAAATAAATCCCACAAATAATGAATATTTGTGTTATATATATGCAATTTAATATTATACAGCAGTAAAATGCACAAACTAAAACTACAGTTAATATAATATGTCAGTTACATCTCAGTAAAAAATAAAATGTCTGAATGTAGAAAAAACGCAACAGTAATACAGATCAATTTTCAAACATCATAGTGTATACACAAAGGGAAATTTTAGGACACATGAGTGTAAGATTATTCAAGTGCATACAAGAAGTGCAAAAGGAGATATTTATTTTTTTAGGGAAAAGTTTGACTTGGGGCTGTCCCAGTGGTGTAGTGGTTAAGTTCATGAACTCTGCTTCAGTGGCCCAGGGTTCCTCAGTTCAGATCCTGGGCACAGACCTACACACCACTCATTAAGCCATGCTGTGGCGGCATCCCACATACAAAACAGAGGACGACTGGCATAGATCTTATCTCCAGGACAATGTTCCTCAAGAAAAAACAAGAAGATTGGCAACAGATGTTAGCTCAGGTCAAATCTTCCCCACCAAAAAAGAAAATTGAGTTTTAACTCTATAAACAAAGAAAGGAACAGAATCTCGTGGAACCCAAAATGATGGTAAAGTACAGGTAATCTAGAAGGATTTTTCAAGACGGAAACCACAATCTGGAATATCAACAATGTTCTTCTTGACTTTCACTTGTTGACTCAGAAGTCCATTTGTTCTTACTGGTAAGTAAGACATTTCTGTTCATAACCTATGTTTGGTTTCCATACAATTTAGTGAGGTGGGATTAAGTAGGATGGAGAAAGCCATAGTCTTCACTAGACACTGAATATCAGCCAAAGTTGCTCTTGATCTCTTATAGCAAATACTTCAAATGTTGACATTGAGTTTTCCTCAGAATAAGTCACCATCTACCTGTTCAGACTCATTCGAGTCCAATCAGACAGTGAGTCACTTTCTTCGTGAGAAACCAGGTCTCAGAAAAAACACTTTGCCCAATATCACAGGATACGGAATTAATGGTTTAAAATGGATTCATGTGAGTTTTAGAACCCATCATGTCCAATGAATCTGAATTGGGATGGAGGCCAACAATACAGCCTTGGGGGTTATTTCACTGATGGAGTTCAACCCGATTAATTAGTAGTGTGGGGATCACACAAGGTCTCGATTCCAGATGGAACCACAATTAGGATGCCTGGTCTCATCTTGGTCCCCAGTGAGGGGGAATTGGAGAAAGTGCAAGAAGGAGGAGTGGCTCCCTTTTCCTGTGAAATTTCTACATCAGAAGTTCTCATTGGGGCCTGTCCTGGTGGCATAGTGGTCCAGTTCACGTGCTCCACTTTGGCAGCCTGGGGTTCTCAGGATCTGATCCTGGGCTTGGCCCTAGCACCACTCCTCAAGCCACTCTGTGGCAGCATCCCACATAAAATAAAGGAAGACTGGCACAGATGTTAGCTCAGTGACTATCTTTCTCAAGCAAAAGAACACTTTGTTTTGGCATCATTTATCTGTTGTGGTTCCTTCTCAATCCTAGGAACTTTCATTTCTCCTTTTCTGAATTTTGCTGTGGCCACATAGTTCAGAACTATTATAAATAGCATTTTTCAGTGTCTAGGACCCGACGAGGGCTCTTGGGTGGGCACAACAATCATCCACTTTGACCTTGGAGACCGACACCATGATCCTCTTGTGCACCAATTCTCGTACATCTTAATCTGGCCTGGAAATTAACAGTGATTGAGCCCTGCCCATGAAGTGGGCTACACTGACCCCCACAACTACTCTGAGCAGTGGGGTTCATGATAAATCATTCCAAATGAGGAAGTTGAGGCTCAGAGATTGGATGTTACTGCCCAAAGTCGCATAGGCAGTGGATGATGGATGAACATGTAAGTAAAAGCCAGTTTTCCCTTCGAATTCAGAGCCCCAACCCAACTCACTGACCCCTAACGCTGGAAGGCAGGATGACAGGATGAGGAGAAGATATCTGATAAAGGAAACAAGAGACACTGGGAGACAGAAATGACTGAGAGGTTTGTTTCCAGGAGGATGGGGTGGATGGTGCTGCAAAATTCAAAGGGAAATCAATGAAGGGCCATGTTTGGTAGAAAGAAAGCTCCCCATCCGGGGCCCAAGGAAGACTCATGTTTTCTCCCCACGTTTCACTGTTTTTCTCCTTTGTGCTCACTGTCACAATGAAGCTGTTCTTGACCTGTACAGTTAGATGTTAAAGGTGTGGCTACTGATCTGACCTCTGCCAAGCATGCAACACAGCACATGGGTTACTGTATTTTTCTTCTCATGGGAGGAGCAACTTAGGACACCAACAAGGACAACAAACAACCAACATTCCTTTTCTTAAATGTTTTTTCGTAAAGGATATTTTTGGGGGTCAAATACTTACTGCTTTGCAGATATAAAATAAACACAACTTAAGATTTTATTTAACTCATCATTAATGAGGGAACTAGAAAGAAGTTACAACCAATTTACAGCTGAACCCAAAGAGTAGACACATTGATAGATCAAGACTATTGAATGGAATTCCCAAGTCCAGCAGAAAGGTTCCTCCCACGTGCTATGGTCTCCTCCTGGAATTCTCTCTCTCTCTCTCCCATTCACCTTAGGCAGGAAGTCCCTCTCAACCTTCAGTTCTGTCCTCAAATGTCACTTCATCAAATCAAGGTCTTCGATCATATCCCAGATGAGTTTTCATCTCCCGTCATCTCTTGTCCTACCTCCATGGGGTGTACCTCCTAACATATAGCTTAATGTGTAATTATGTACTTGTTAATTATAAGGTTACTATATGGATAATCCCCAAATCATCATTTCTGGAAGGCAAGATCAATACCTATTTTTTTTATGCTTTTTGGTGAGGAAGATTGGTCCTGAGCTAAAATCTGCTGCCAATCTTTGTTTTTCTTTTTTTCTCCCCAAAGCCCCAGTACATAGTTGTATATCTTAGTTGTATATCATTCTAGTTCTTCTATGTTGGATGCCACCACAGGATGGCTTAATGAGCAGTGTGTAGGTCTGTGCCCAGGATCTGAACTGGAAAACCCCAGGCCATCAAAGCAGAGGACGCAAACTTAATCACTTGGCCACGGGGCCAGGCCCCAAGATCAATGCCATTTTATCACATATTCCTGAATTTTTTAAATTACTTTGTTGTGTTCAGGACACTTAACATGAGATCTAACCTCTTAAGAAAATGTTAAGTGCTCAGTACAGCCTGGGTAACTATGCACACAACGTTGTACTGAAAAACCACATCTAAGAAAATAACACAGAAGAGGTGAACACAAGATTGAGAATGCTGTTTATCTTACATAATGTGAAGTTCACGGATGGATAAGAGGTCACACGTGAGTTGATATTATTATTATTGTGAATATCCTGGTTTCAAGTTTAGTGATAATTTTACATTTTTATTCTTGAAATAACTTAATTTTTCCGAGAATACTATTTGGCTATTTTAAAATACGTTCACCTTGGTGCAGGTCCAGTGGCGTAGTGGTTAAGTTTGCGTGCCCTGCTTTGGTGGCCAGGGGTTCGTAGGTTCAGATCCTGGGCACAGACCTGGCACCACTGGTCAAGCCAAGCTGTGGCGGCATCCCCCATAAAATAGAGGAAGATTGGCACAGATGTTAGCTCAGCGACAATCTTCCTCAAGCAAAAAAAAGGAGGATTGGCAACAGTTGTTAGCTCAGGGCCAATCTTCCTCACAAATAAATAAATAAATAAAATACATTCACCATTGTGTATACATCTATATGTGTATTCCTGTGCTGTATGTGCATGTGTGTATAAAGTCACATGCTGCACAATGACGTTTTGGTCAAAGATGGCCTGCGCATATGATGGTGGTTCCGTGAGATTGGTATCATATAGCCTAGCTCTGCAGTAGACTATGCCATCTAGGTTTGTGTGAGTATATTCTATGATGTTCACACAATGATGAAATTGCCTAACGACACAGTTCTCAAATGTGCTCCCTATCGTTAAGTGACACATGATTGTATATGTATTATTAGGGTTGTTTTGAAGTGAGAGAGAGAACTTCTAAGTTTGACTCATGAGTCAAGAGGAATTTTAAATACAACTTCAATAGCCAGAATTTGCGTGTTCTGTTCTGTGATAATAGTGCAGATAAAGTTTGCTTGACGCTTTGTGGGAAAATTTTAAAATTTGCAAATATTTCTCAATTTGCAATTTGCAATTAATAAAGTTTTGAAAATAATAGAATAAGTACTTTATTTTATCTTAAAATATTTTATAACATTAGCAATAAATATATGTTAATTTGGCAGAAGGATGATGCTTATTGTAAATCGAATGAAGCGTGTATCTCAAAAAATGCAGTAAGAGGTGTTACATATCTTTATATGGTTTTATAGGTAGGAAAATTAAATTTGAACTTATGTATGAGGGATTAGTCAGTTATGAGGTTTATGTCAGGCCTTCATTAGGGCCTGTAATGAACCATGAACGTTGTCTGTAATTTATCTACAGCACCTCCCGTATTAGGGTGACAAGAATCTGGTCATCTTCCTGTGTGGTGGGTCACCTGTAAACCCTGCAAATTGTGAAGTTGGGACCATGGCAACCACATCCTGTTTATTTTCCAATTTAGCTCAGCTCCTGCACCCTGTCCAACAGAGGTAGTGCCATGTCCCCCAAATTTGTCAGCCTCCTGTGTCTCTGTAACTCCTGACGGGAAGGGAGGAGACAATTATGATCGAAAACCCTGTCCTGAAGATGTGGGCTCTTCACAGCCCAAGGCTCGAGTTAAGAGCCTGTGGGAAGCAGAGTTCATCTGCTGTCTGAGTCCAGGCTGATTGGTCAAGGCTAGTGTCCAAGATAGGGCATCATTCCTAGGAGGGTGTGATTCTTATGGGACAAGCCATCTCTGAAGGGGTTTCCTTCCGGGATCCTCTCTGGTCCAGAGGATCTGGGCATTTATGGATGAGTCCTTCCCCAGTCCCAGGTGGCTGTGTTGGTTGGATACAGATGATTGTCCCAGGTGGGAGGGGTTGAGCACAGGAGTTGGTGATGCAGGTGACCTGGGAAGGCTGGACAGGAATCACCTGGCAGCACAAGAAGTGGAGCTATCTGGCATACCCAGCCTCTGATTTTGTCCTAGAGATCCTCCATGGACACCCTCTGTGGGCTGAGCCAATCTCCTGAAGGAGCCTGTGGTGTTCAGAATCTGGAGTCTCTGGGGATGGTTACATGGAGAACCAGGAACTGACTCAGATTCTCCAGCCCATCCAGGATGCTGAGATAAAGGGTATTCCAGCTCCCAGAGTCTGAGAAGGGACTGTTCAGGAGGCAGTGTCTTCATGGACCTTGTGCCACATCCTGGTCAAGGAAAACATTTTTATTAAGTTTCATGGCTTTTTCTTGCATTTCTTAAATCCTTTAGATTTCGCCATTCTCAATGCATGTTTTTTGTTATTACAGAGAAATGTTAAGAGAAAATTTGCTCTACATTTTCTCAACATTCTCAGCAAAATTCTTGTTCTGGGAAGAACTGTCAGGCCCGTGCAGGGGTGGGCTGTGTCCCTGGCCCCCCAAACCCCCCAGGTCTCCCTGGGCATCAGGGATGCCAGTTCGGGGGAAAAGCCTTGGAAGAATGTAAAGGAGGAAAGGCACCTTGAGGGCAGTGAGGGGAGGGGGCGGCTCCCCATTTTCCTCTCTAAGGCTGTGCCTCCTTCTCTCCCAGTTGGACACAACAAGCCATCCCTGTCAGCCTGGCCGAGCCCTGTGGTTCCCCTAGGAGGGAATGTGACACTTCAGTGTCATTTCCATCTTCCATTTGTCGTATTCAAAATACTCAGATGGACTCACATCCCTGAGCTCCAGAGAGGAATTTTCAACAGCTTTACTGTGAGCCCTGTGACCACAGCACGTGAAGGGATCTATGAATTTTCCAGAACTTACAACCACATCCCCTCTGTGTGGTCAGGACACAGTGACCCCCTGGAGATCATGGTCACAGGTAGGAAAAGCCCAGCCCTGGCAGTGTTCACCCTGTGTCCAGATGGCCCTACCCAGAGTCCAGATCCCAGTGGGACCCAGACAGTGAGCAGTGGATCTAAAGGTCACAGAGCTTAGAACCAACACGGAGGATGTTGGGGGCCTCTGGCCAGAAGAAACAAAAAAGCAGATGGAGATGAGGCAGTGAGATTCAGGCTATAAAAGTCATGAGCCAGAGGATGGAGAACGAGGCTCAGAGAAAATGCAGTAAGAAAGGCATAGGAAGGAACTGAGACAGCTTTGGGTTTGAGGGAGGTAGGAATCACTCTGAAAATATCAAAAGAAGGGTGAGAAGGGTCCACATGGAAATTCACACTCTCTTTCTTCCCTGGTGTGTTCACCAAGCCCACCTCTCAGCCCACCCAGGCATCTTTGTGCAGGTAGAGGGGACTGTGACCCTGCCCTGTCCCTCAGAACTAGCGTTTGAAACATTTTTCCTTCTCAAGGAAGGGGGCACACGGCATTCTCAGCAATTTGTAGAGGACCTTCCTGATGGGCATACCCAAGATCATTTCTCCATGGGCCCTGTGACATCTGCTTATGCAGGGACCTACAGATGCTATGGCTCTGTCAGTCACTCTCCCCATGAGTGGGCGGACCCCAGTGAGCTTGGGGATGTAATCACCCAGTCACTGTGATTTCAGGAGAGTGCGGCTGGCTCAACCTCTGTTCTCTTCATGCCCTGGAGCCTCAAGGGGGATGTAGTGTCAAGTACAGTCTTAGCAGAGGAGGAGAAAACAGACATACAGAAGTACTAGCAAACTCAGGAGAGCAGGTTGAGGGGTGAGGGAAAAGGGGAAGAAACAGAGAACTTTTATCATAATCCAAAGAAAAAACAAATTCGAGAGTGGCAGAGGATGAGACAGAGAATGAGAAAGATGGACCAAGAATGATTCCTGAGCACAGGGATGAAGAGCGTCCCCAGCTCAGGCACAGAGTGACAGTGGGAGTTGCCTCCCGCTTTACCACCACAGCCCCTTCCTCTGCTGTGAGGACACAGTGACACACAAGACAGTCCTGCAGCCAAGCCCTGAATGAGCTGAATAGAGTTTGGGACCCTGAGGTAATAATCAGCAACGTGGTTTGCCACATCCTCCTGCACAAGAGGGAGTAGTGGTCACCTGCAATCTTCACAACCTAGTGGTCACTTCCCATACTTTGGGGCACAGGGTCGTGCTGGCCATTCTACATAAGAAGATTCTCAAAGATCCTATGGATACTTTGACACTTTCCACTCCATAATCTGTACTGTGTCAGGGAGCCTAAGGCCAACAGCATGTATTCTGGGAATCCTCAAAGTGTCCAGTTGGTTGCATTATTCGAGAGAACCCCACACGTCTTATGGCTTCCTGCAGCAGTAAGACATGGAGGTACAGTCAGAGAGCAATAGAGAATCAGGCAAAAGCAGGGTCCTAGAAGGACGCACACACACAATCACTCAGCACTGCAGAGATAAAGGTGAGGTTGACAGGCACTAGAAGACACACACAGTGGGTGCCCCAGAATGGGAACAGAGAATGCTTTGTCATAACCAAGGACAGTGTGATAAGACTTGTGCTCTCAGAAAAGCTCTTTTTTCTCCTGGGAATACACAAGAAACCTTGTCTCTCTGCCCAGTTAGGTCCTGAGGTGATATCAGGAGAGAACCTGGCCTTGTTCTGTGAGTCCAAGTGCTCTTTGTCCTGGGCCATCTATCGAGGGAGGGGGAGGCCCATGAACGCTGGCTCCCAGGAGGGCAGAGCCACAATGGTGCATTCCGGGCCATCTTCCCTCTGCGCCCTGCGATGCCAGCCCATGGTGGGACCTATAGGTACTATGGCTCTTTCAATCACTCTCCCTGTGACTGTCCAGAACTGAGGACCCACTGCACCTTTCTGTCACAGGTGAGGGACCTCATCCTGTCCAGGGTCATACGATACACTAAATCATGGAGCTATAGGTGAGGGCGCCCTGTTGGTGATGAGGAATCTTAGGGATTCTGGAGAAATGGAAGCAAAGAGAAATACAAAGAGTAAAAGAGAGGATGGCAATCAGGGCACCTCCAAACCCTCCTCACCTGCTGTGTGGATGCCCACATCGGGGTCCCACATATCCAGGAGAAGGAAGAAAGGGGTCAGGCAGATCCAAGAGGAGGAGGAGGGGCTGGAGGCAGTTTGGGGAGATCAGAGGCTGCAACAGGTCCTCACCCTTATTTGTTTCCCAGGAGCCCCTCTGACCCACAAGTGATTTCCCAGTTGTGGAACACAGATATTTATCACCCAAGAGGACTTACTGTCTCTTTTCATAGCTGTCTTTCATCACCAGGCATATCCTAATGCCTCTTTACACCATCACATCTCAGGGAGGCAGCATCTTCTCAAGGCACTCAGGTGGATGGACCAGAAGGCCCCCATCAGTCCTTAGGGGGATGGTAGAGTGAGAGGTGGATAGAGGACCAACCTTCCAGAAGGAACAGTCCTACTTCAGGGGGCGAGGAAGGACACTGGCTCATCCTTTGCTGTCCTTTTTCCTAGGAATTCCTACAAATACTTGCCCATCACCCCAAAAAATAAGCATCACAAAAGATGAGCAAGGAAGTCTCTTAATTTAATCCATAAATGACCCAGAGGGATCCTGTGTGAGTGTTGACTCTGCCACCTACCAGCTCTGTGACATTGGGTTAGTCAGCTTCCCATCTGATCCCCAAATTCTCCATCAGCATTTGAGAGTGTGGTCAGTATGGGAATCAGAAGAGGCATATAGGGTCTCATGTTCTGGAACTGAGGCCTTTACCAATAGAAATGAAGGGATCATAGGGACCCTGACCCCACGCTCAAGAGAGATGCTTATCCTCCCTCCATCAGGGTCTGTGAAGATGAGGATGATGAATGATAAGGATTTAGGGGAACACTTTAAATATGTACTGTCCATCTGTTAATACTCTATTAGCTGGATATCCAAAAGTTAACAAGGAAAAAGATCCTGCCTTCATGAGGATCATATTCCAGATGTGTGTGAAGGGAGGAGAAAAGGTATGAGTAAATGAATGAAAATTCATTAAGATTCATTAATTCATACACATTAAGATAGGGTCATGTGATAGAGAAAGCTTAAGTGGATAACAGAGTGAGTGGTAGGCAAGACCATACTGAGGGTGACATTTCAGATGTGATCTAACAACAAGGAAAGTCACTCCTGAGACGCTTAGTCTAAGGATCTTCCCAACAGATGGAACCATGAGTGCCATGAATCCAATGAAGCAATGAGCTTGGAGGGTTCAAACCACCGGTGAGCCTGACATGTGTTGAGTGAGATGGAGTTGAGGGAGGTAGACTGGAGCCAAATTAGGTAAAGGTGGATAAGCAAGGACGAGGAGCTTAGATATTATTCTGTTTTAAATGGGAAGCCATTAAAATATGTATATTGGAAAAGTGGCTTTAAGTGCATGATATTTTCGAAGGAACTGATTGGCAGGAGTGAACATAATTTATTTAAAGGAAATGAGTGGAAGCCATGAGCCTGGTGGGAGGTGATGACAGTCCCTGTAGAGAAAAGTCATGGCAACCTAACCATGAAGATGCTGGGAAAGGAGTTAAGTGGATGGCTTCATGACATACTCAGACGTAGATTCATTAGGAAAGAGATTCCTGAACAGTTTTTGTATTTCTCAGCTGAGCCACCTTCAGCATCCTCATTATCTAAGTTGCAAAATTTCTTGGCATAAATTTGTTTGTAGTATTTCTTTAGTACCCTTTTAATGTCTGTAGGACTGGTAGTGATGCTCCTCTTATTCTTGATATTGGTAATTTACGTCCTCTCTTTCTTCCTCTCTTGCTGTTTTTCTTTACATCCTACAAGCTTTGATATGTTGTAATTTCATTTACCCTTTTTCACTAATATTTGGTAAATTCAACTTTGTGTCATTCTATAATCCATAAATATTGAGATTTTGTTTCCAAAGTATTGGGGTTTCTTCTTAATGTTTTCTTATTGTCGATGCTTATTTAATTCCACTCTAATCAGGAAACATGATATGTATGGTAACAGTTTGGAGAAACATAGATACTTACTTTGTTGTCTAGTAAGAAATCAATATTTTCTGTTCAATATGTGCTTTAAAAATGAGCATTCCCACTTTGTTGTAATATGTATGTCACGAAAATATTTCTATAAAATTATGCATACTGTGTGCACATCAGATTGCACATTCATTTGTGATTCAATGCTCACGTAAATTTTTTGCCTGCTTAACCCATCAGATATTATATATTATTCTGATAAATGTTTGTTCAAATCCTCCATTATGTATCAACTTATGTTTTACATATTTCAAGGATATGTGATTGGTTGAGTGAAACTTCATAATTATGTCTTCATAGTAGATAGTTGATTTAAAAATATAAAATATCAATTGTTGGTCTTTTAAAAGTATTTTTATGTTTGTATTAATTTCCTATTGCTGCCATAACAAATTACTACAAATTTAGCAGCTTAACACAATTTATCATCTTACAGATCTGTAGTCAGAATTCCGAACGGGTCTCACCAGGCTAAAATCAATGTGCTGACATGGCTGAGTCCCTTTATGGAGGCTCTAGAGAGGAGAATCCATTTCCTTGCTCATTCAGATTATTGGCAGAATTATATACACTTGCCTACACGCATAGATATATGCACATATCAAATGCTTATTAATACTTCTATGTACTACTGATTTCTTTTGTTCTCAGTACCATCCCATTTTCTCCATTTTGGTTCATTACTCTCACTTATTTATATCATTTAGTACTGCTCTTAGAGAGGGTGTGGACACAAAAATATCTTCATGCTTCTATGTCTAAATGCCTGATTCATATTAATATTCTCTCTATGTATCACAGTACTTGGTAAAGGAGAAGACTCACCTCGTCAGAGTGAAAGACATCTTGTATTTAAGGGATATGTCCACCAACGCCCTCCTTATCCCTCACAGAGATGCAGCCGGATGTCGTGGGTTTAAGGTATAGGACACGAGTCCCAATATGTCAGATATTCCTCCAGTCTCTTTGTCTTTAAGGATTTGCCCACTGCTGACAGTTCAGCTTTGCTCCTTAATAATATCTAGGCTCAGTATACAACTCTGTACTCACAATTAATGCCTGGAAGGTATTTCTCCAGTATTTTCTGTCACCTGTTTTTGCTCTTTAGAAATCCAATTGCAATGAACTTGTCATTCACTTGAAGGTCACTTGCATTTTCTCTATTCGCTTTAGAACTATTTTTTAACTTATTCTCAATGTTCTTTACCAGGGCCAAGATAAGATTTTCATTTTTAAATTCATGAACTTTAAAGCCATGTTCTTTCTTCATTTCTGTAAAAATTTCAACCACTCTCTCTTCAAGTTTGTCTAAAACCATTCTCACTTCTTTCATCCTGAAACTGTGATAGAAATCTGTTTAACTCTTCTCATTCTATTTCCTCTGTATATTCATTATATTTTCTATTTTTCCACTTCTGGTCTCATTGTGATCCATTCTAGCAACTTTAAACCCTATTCTATTCCAGTGACGTCAGCAGGATGGCAGAATAGGAAGTCCCAGGCCTCGTCCCTCCACAGAAACATTGATGAAACAATGATATTTGGGCAAAAATACCTTTATGAGAATTTTGGAATCCAGGTAGTAAGTTGCAACAACTCAGAAGAGCATAAAACCAAAAAAAAAAAAAAAAAAGTTAGAACTGGATAAAAAGATCAGTTTCACTTTTCCCGTGTCGCTCCTGCCCCAAGCCACTGAGAGACCAGGTCACTCCGGGATTTCTCCCTCAGAGAAAAGAGTGAGTGAAGCTGCATCTGAGGGCGCTGCCCCAGAGACCGATTGATGTCTCACCTCTCTCAGAGCACAAGGTGAGAGGGGCACCTGGGGGCAGCCAAGGACAGAGGAAAGGGGCTCCCAGTGCTGGCAAAGCCCTGAGACTGCTCCCCCAGGATGGAGGGAGAGGAGTAGAGCTTGCGTATCCACAGAAAATGCTGGAGAGGCTCCCCAAAGTTCTAATAGGACTTATTTGTGGTCATTTCCTGCTAGAACCAGACCATAAAGACTGAAAGAGGTTGCTGCTTCTCCCAGTGGGCAGACACCAAAGAAAAGCTACAAGAAACATGGAGAATCAGGGAAATAGAACACTACAAAAGGAAAAAGATAAATCTCCATTAACTGACTTTAAAAAGTGATCTATATGTTGCCGGACAAATTATTCAAAATAATTATCTTACTTATTTTAGGTGAAATAATCTTCCAGAAGGGTGTCAAGAAGACAATTGAGAAAGTACAGTCTCTTCAATAAATGGTGTTTTGGGGAAGCCGGCCCCATGGCCTAGTGGTTCCGTTCAGTGTGCTCCTCTTCAACAGCCCAGGTTCAGTTCCTGGGCAAGGACCTACACCACTTGTCAGCCACCATGCTGTGGTGGCGGCCCACATACAAAATAGAGGAAGACTGGCACAGATGTTACCTCAGGGTTAATCTTCCTAAGCAAAAATAAAATAAAATAAAATTTAAAAAATTAAAAAATAAAGAAATAGATGAATAGTGTTGGTAAAACTAGATATCCATATGCAGAGGAATGAAATTGGACTCTGAGTTCACATCACATACAAAAATCAACTCAAAATGGAGTAAAGACTTAAATGTAAGACCCAAAACAATAAAACTACTCGAAGAAAATGAAGGTGAGAACCTTCTTACAACAGTTTAGGTAAAGACATTTTTTTGGATATGACACCAAAAGCACAGGCAACAAAAGCAAAAATAGACAAGTAGGATTGCATCAAATTAAAAAGCTCTGCAGAGCAAAGCAAAGAACTGATTGAATGAAAAGGCAAATTATAGAATGGAGAAAATACCACAAACCGTATATCTGATAAGGGATTAATTTTCAAAACACTGAAGTGTGGAGATTGATAAGAGAAACCTTAACTAAATTGGAATCGAGAAGGCCTGTAGGGGGTGCTCTTATGCCCTATCACACGTTGTCAATCACACCAAACAGGAAGCGACATACTCTTGCATCTTCTGCAGGAAGTGAAACTACTTTACTACTGAAAGAAGACTTCTCTCCCCACCGGCAAAAGACCAGCCAATGACAAGCCTCCACAGCTCAGCCAATGAGAAGCCTCCACAGCTCAGCCAATGAGAAGCCATTGTCACCCTGAACTGCTACTTTCCCCCAATGGATTTTTAGTTTAGCACAGCCACTCCCTACTCCCCCTTTTTCACTATAAAAGCAGCTCCCCTTCTTTGTTTGAGGTCTTTGCCTATGCTTTGCCATAGTGTGAATTGTAGTTCTTTGGATATTCTTGAATAAACTCATTTTGAGATTAAACAACAGGAAAACTTGCTTTTGAAGTTGGCAGAAGGAATTCATACAACTCGATGCAAAAATGACAACAATAATCCAATTAAAAAATGGGCAAAGGACCTGAATAGGTACTTCTCAAAAGAAGACATCCAAATGGCCAATCAGAATATGAAAAGGTGCTCAACCTCACTAATCATCACGGAAATGCAGAGCAAACCCACAGTGAGATAGCACCTCATGCCTCTTAGAATGGCTATTATGAAGAAGACAAGAGATAGCTAGTGTTGGCAAAAACGTGGAGAAAAGGGAGCCATTGTGCACTGTTGGTGGGAAAGTAAATCGGCACAGCCGTTTTGGAAATAGTCTGGAGGTTCCCCTAAGAATTAAAAACAGAACAATCATATGATCCAGCAACCCTACCTCTGAGTACATTTCCAAAGTAAATAAAATTAGGATATCAGAGAGATATCCGCACTCCTCTGGTCTTTGCAGCATTATTCACAGTAGTCAAGAAATGGAAACAACCTAAATATCCATCAACCAATGAATGGATAAAGAAGATGCAGTGTACATACATGCAATGTGGCAATTTAAATAATCAACAAGCAATCTATAGATAAGCAAGATAGAGTTATATTTATTGAGCTAATGCTGAGGACTAGCCCATAAGTATTATCTCCACCAGGGAAGAAAGCACTCCTGAGAAGCATGGTTTACAGCATGAGTATATACATTTCCAGAAAAGGAACATACATCAAGAGTGACAGGAATACAATTTTTTTCCCAAAGTCACAAGGAGGTGTTTTGCTACAGTTTAGCACATACACAGCAGGTCAACTTGACCTGGTTCTCTGGGAAGAAAAGCTTATCTTCAAAGAATTACTGGCATTGGTATCAGAGAAAGGGAGACATTCATCCCTATTAAAAGAGTGGCGTCGTTGCTTTGGGAAGATGTTTGAAGCAGAGGTACAATGCATGTCTGATGGGCCATAAGTCAGGCTGCTTGGGGGAAAACAAGTTTTAGGCGGAATCAGGGTTAAAGTAGAGTGGCGTCGTCATATACCTCAATATGTTAAAACTTCTTATAATTCTTATTTTCATCAACTGGAATATTATTCATCTTTTAAAAAGGAAATTCTGCCCTTTGCGACAACCTGAACGAACCTGGAGGACACCATGCTGAGAAATAAGCAAAACAAATATAAAGACAACATACTTTCACTTACAAGTGGAGTCGAAAATAGTCAAACTCATAGAAACACAGTAGAATGCTGGTTGCCTGGGCTGAGGAAAGGGGGAAATGGGAGATGTTGGTCAAGAGACACAAAGTTTCAGTTGTGCAGATGGATGACTTCTGGAGAGGTAACGTACAGCCACGTGACTACAGTTAAATATACTCTATTGTGTACTTGAAATTTGCTTGGGGGTAGATCTTAAGTGTTCTCACCACACACACAGAATAAAACGTAACTGTGTGGGTGACTGATGTGATAATTAGCTTGGTTATGCTGATTATTTCCCAATGTATATATATATGTCAAAACATCAAGTTGAACACCTTAAGTGCATTCAATTTTTATTTGTTAATTGTACCTTAATAAAGCTGAAAAAATTTTCTTTCACCTAGTTACAACAAGCACTTTGAAAGTTCTTCCATTTTTAAGTTTAAATAGTCACTCTCATTTTTATTATATGTATTTACATTTTTATTTCAGAACGGTACTCACTGTCCTCTTCCTTTAGAGAAGACAAGCTTCTAGTTACACTTTCCCTGAACTCTGAGTACTCATATATATAAACATGTGCATGCGTGTGCACATCTGTATGTCTATGAGCACGTGTGTGTGTGCATATGTGGGTGCGTGTGTGTTGTGTGCAAGTGCATGTTTGTACAATTTCCCTTTTCTTATCATTCTTTTCCTCACTGTTGCATTTCTCTTGCTCCACTTTGGGTTCATTGTTCTCCTAAGTGAATTTCATCACTGAGTATTCCTTTCATTGAATGTGAAAATGGTAGAATACCTAAGAACTTGCAGCTCTGGAAATGCCTTCTTTCACTCGCATTCCTTTTATCAAGCTACTTCAAAACATTTTCTCATTTCAAATAAAGCGTAAGATTCCACTACCAAGAGAGGAAAATCTAGCTGGTGATTATGGATCCATCCCCCTAAATCTCCTCTTATCTCTCATGAAGACGCAGCCCAATGTGGGGGGTTTAACCTGTGAGATTCAGGTCAAGAGTCTCCTCCTGTTTAGGGACTTGCTCCTGCTGACCCTTTCTCCTTTGTCCCTTAAAAATAATTTGGCTCAATATACAATTCTTCACAGACTCCTAATTCCTGGAAAGTATTTCTCCAATCTCTTCTGGCGTCTCTTTTTGCTGTGGAGAAGGCTGGTCCTAAGAGCTTGTCATTCTATGGATGGTAATTTGCATTTTCTCCAGGAAGTAATTTTAGGACTTTTCATAGGGCCCCAGGCTAGTCCTCCTCAATTTGGGGAGGAGGGAGTTAAATTTGCATAAAATAAAATTGATCATGTTAAAGTGTACAATTCAGTGTAAGATATATGTTTTTAATTTATCCTTCAATTTCTCCATTTGCCATGAAGTGTCAAGACATAGATGCTATTGTTAATTATATGCCTCCTAGCACTTAGCCTTTCCTCATCTTTGTAAAAAGTTGATTCTTCATCTTTTGAGCTCTTGTTAGACGTCATTCTCCCTTCTTTCCTCTGACACTTACAATAGGTGTGATGTTAGCCCTCCTCATTCTGTTCCCCAAGTATCTTAAATTTCCATTTCTGGTCTGTGCACGTTGCATTCTGGAAATTTCTCTCATTTTTCTGTTCCGGTTTCATAATTGGCCTTCAGCTGCCTTGTCCTTGAGGGAGTGAATTTTTTTTAATGTCTTAATTCTACTGGATTTTTCATCTCTAAAATTTCTCATTTCAATAGTTGCCTATTCTATAAAAACAATTCATCTTCTTGCCTCAAAAATTCCATTTCTCCATTTATGTTTTGGATATTTAAACATATTTAATTTAAATTCCTCTCCTATTTTCCTATTGACTCTATTCCTTGCATAAGATGATCCGCATTAATCAGTTGCTTGTTGCCCATAGCATGTTCCTCATGATTAAGACGACTCGACTGTCCATTCTTGTTGGAAGCCTCTGCTCCCACACCCTGATCTTCCAGAGACGGTTTTTCCCAGGGCTGTCCTGGAGTCAGGCTGACATGGGGGGACTGTTGCAGCTGTTCCTGCCCCATGGCATCCACTCGCTCAAACTCGGCACCTGCTCAGGGTTGTGCCCAGCAGGCCTGGTCCAATGGAAGCCTCACATTCAAATGTGGGGCAGGCGCCCAGGGCTGACAATACTGAATTCAATCTGTTTCAGGACACACAGGGGAGGTTGCTCAGTGCTGACCATGGGCTCGGGCCAGTGGGCATGTATTCCAGTGCCCACCCAGAAACACAGGGAGGGGAGCCACAGCTTCCAACCTTCTCCTGGAGCCGTGAGCCCTCCCTTCTTGTGAGGACCTGGAGGTCCTCTCTGTTTCCACACAGCTGACCTCCTCCACAGGGCCCCTTGATGGTCCTGGGTACCGATGGCCACTCAGCTTTGTTCTCTATTCTTTATTGTGCTTCCATCTCCATTGTTGGAACTTTCGTTTCTCTTTTTACATTTGTCTGTGGGTGCATGTTTCAGAAATATTGTAAGTAGCGTTTCTCAGTGTTGGGAGTAGACACGATCTCTTGGGTGGGCACGTCAATCATCCACTTGAGTGTGGAGTCCCACCCCAAACCCACTCCTGTCTTATCCTGACCAGGAAATTGATTGATCGCACCCATGAACCCAGCACCACTAATCCCACAACCACTCTCTGAGGAGGGGAGTTCATGACAACATGCTGCAGATGAGGAAACTGAGGCTCAGAGATTGGGCGTTAATGCTCAAGGTCACATGGGCTGTGGATGATGGAGAAATATTTAAACAAAAATCAGCCTTATCCCCCAAATAAGAGCCACGCATTGAGAACTGAAACTGAAGACAACCACAAGATGAGGAGAGCTCTTCCCAAGGGAGAAAAGGGTCTGAGGAGGCAAGAAACAACTCAGAGGTTTGTTCCTAGAGAGAAGGGGGTGGACGCTGTTACAAGAAAAAAGAGAAGTCCGAGAAGGGGGCTGTGATAGAAAGCAAGCCCACACTCAAAGGCCAAGAGAGAAATCATGTTTCCTTCCCTTATTTCACTGCATTTCTCCTTTGTGCTCATTGTCACAATGACACGCTCCTGAACCGTACAGTTAGATGTTGAGCGTGTGTGTCTGCTGATCTGAGCTCTGCAGGCAGCAGGAAACTGCGTCTTCCCTGAAGCATCTCCAGGGCCTGGATGACCACTGTCCATGGTGAGGACCCCACAGGGATGTTCTGAAGGATGGGCTGAGGATGAAGGAGACCCCATGGGGGAGGCTCTGAGACGGAAGGACATACCCTGGGTCACCTCACCTGGAAGGGGCATCTCAGGAAGGCACCACATCTATTGTTGTGAAGTCTTGCCCATCGGTGAGATGAGTGCGGATCAGGCAGACAGTGGGGGTCAGGAGAGACCATCTTTCATCTGAAATGTCTCCAGAGCGCCTGGAAGATCTGCCCCAGCTCTGGGGAGGGCAGTTCCCCTTTCTGTGGGGCTGCTGACATGAGAAACCCGTGACAAAGGACCAGCCTCCAAGTGGCCACACCCTGTGCATCCGTCTGTCCTTCCAGGCATTGTAGTCTCTTTCATCTTCACAGCTGGGGCCAGAGGGAGGAGACGCCATGAGCCTTACCCTCACAGCCCTGCTCTGCCTTGGTGAGATTTGGGGAGGGGGAGGGGAAGCCCTGGAGCCCTGGTCTGGGAAGGGCCCCACCCCACAGCCAGACCCTGGTCTGTCACGAGAGCCCAGGACTCAGGAGGCTCATGGGAAGGAGGGTTCTGCTCGGATTCAGGGCAAATCTCTCACAGGGAATTCTCTTCCAGGGCTGAGTGTGGGCCCGAGGACCCCAGTGCAGGCAGGTAAGTGTGTCTCCAGGTGTCCCAGGTCCCACCTTCTCTCTGGGGACAAAGAGCCCCCACCAGGCAGCTGGGATTGGAGAACAGTAGTTCTGGGTTGGGGGATGTGGGACGTGTGGGGGGTCCAGGGCTAAGAGCTGGGGAACTGGGGTGGGGAATGTCTTTTGACCCAGCCTCTGATTTCCTTCTAGGGACCCTCCCCAAACCCACCATCTGGGCTGAGCCAGGCTCTGTGATCCCCTGGGGGAGTCCTGTGACCATCTGGTGTCAGGGGACCAAGGAGACTCAGGAGTTCCAACTGTATAAAGAGGGAAGCTCACTGCCCTGGAGCAGACAGAACCCACTGAAGCCTGGGGACAAGGCCACGTTCTTCATCCCACACATGACAGAGCAATATGCAGGGCGATATCGCTGTTACTATCTCAGCCCCACCGGCTGGTCAGAGCTCAGTGACCCCCTGGAGCTGGTGGTGACAGGTGAGAGGACACTCAGGGATCCCAGCCTCAGGCTCTGCCCTCAGGAAGGGGGTCTGCTCTCAGGGGTGTGTCCCCTCTCACAGCCCAGCCCCAGGGGATATGAGGGAGGTATGAGCCCCATTTTACGTGCTGCCTCCTCCTCTCCTAGGAATCTACAGCAAACCCTCCCTCTCAGCCCTGCCGAGCCCTGTGGTGAAAGCAGGAGGGAACGTCACCCTCCAGTGTGGCTCATGGCTGAGATTTGACAGGTTCATTCTGACTAAGGAAGGAGAACATCAGCCCTCGTGGACGCTGGACTCACATCGACACCCCAGTGGGCAGCCCCAGGCCCTGTTCCCTGTGGGCCCCATGACCTCCAGCCACAGGTGGACGTTCACATGCTATGTCTATGACAGTAAAAACCCTCAGGTGTGGTCACAACCCAGTGACCCCCTGGAGCTCCTGGTCCCAGGTGAGGAAGTCCCATCCTGGTCCCACCCATGATTTGAGGCACCAGACAGGGTCTTTACTCTCAGGGACCCCCAGGTGAGTGGGTGGGGTGAGGGGATAAGGGAGCTCCTGGGGAAGAGGCACAAAGAGTGAGAGACAGTGAGACCTGGGTTCCAGGATGGAGAAGGGGGTTTATGGGAGGAATCAGCCCCTGCATCCACAGGTGGTCCTTCTCCCAGGTGTGTCTGGGAAGCCCTTCCTCCTGAACCAGCAGGGCTCCATCGTGGCCTCTGGACAGAGCCTGACCCTCCAGTGTCTCTCTGATGTCGGCTATGCCAGATTCGCTCTGTCCAAGGAGGGGGGACATGACCTCCCCCAGCGCCTTGGACGGCAGCCCCAGGCTGGACACTCTCAGGCTGATTTCCCCCTGGGCCCTGTGAAACCCTCCCACGGGGGCCAATACAGATGCTACGGTCGACACAACCTCTCTTCTGAGTGGTCAGCACCCAGTGACCCCTTGGATATCTTGGTGGCAGGTGAGGAGCCAGGGAATTCAGTCAGGAGCCCAGACTATGCACAGGCCCTGCCAGGGAGCCCCACAGGGTCATGCCTGGAAGAGGGGTGTGAGGTCCTCAGGGAGGGAGAGAGACAGAGAGACAGGGGATGGGCAGTGAGAGGGAGACACTCAGAGAAAACAAGACAGACAGAGATGGGGGTCCTCAGAGAGAGGCCTGGGGACTCTTGGTTCCAAACAAGGTGGGCGGGCAGCCCCTCACCCACCCTTCCTCTCTCTAGGACAGCTCCCTGACACACCCTCCCTCTTGGTGCAGCCAGGCCCCACGGCGGCCTCAGGAGAGAATGTGACCCTGCTGTGTCAGTCACAGGGGCCAGTGGACACGTTCCTTCTGTTCAAGGAGGGGGCAGCCGATCCCCCACTGCGTCTGAGATCAAAGTACCAAGCTCGGCAGTACAAGGCCCAATTCTACATGAGTCCTGTGACCCCAGCCCACGGGGGGACCTACAGGTGTTACAGCTCATACAGCACCACCCCCTACAAGTTGTCACACCCCAGTGACCCCCTGGAGCTCGTGGTCTCAGGTGAGGGAACCTGACCCTTTCCTTTCTGAGTCACTCAGCTCAGGGCCTTGTCCCCCAGAGAACTCTGGGCTGGGATAGAATCGGGGGGGGCTATGAGGAAGGGTCACCCAGAGAGGGATCTGCCCCTCAGAGTATAGGAAGGAAACAGGGCCCTCTCGTGCCTGCCCCTTCCCACGTCCCCATCACCAGAATCCTCCATGTGGGTGGAGAGAGAGATTTGGGGACCACAGGGCAGATGAAGGATAATTGTGTGAGCAGAGACGGGGTCTCTGGGGGAACCTCCAGCCCCTCATCTCCTCTTGTCCTTTCTGCTAGGATCCTCTGGGGACCCCACCTCCCCACCCCCAGGGCTCCATTTAACATCTGGTGAGAACAGGGGCCTCTGTCCAGAGAGCTCACAGTTTCTCCAGGCCTGTCTCTCGAGATTCAGCTGATCTGACTCCTAGCTCCTCTCTCAGCACAGCTTGTCTCCAGGGGGCTGGGAGTCGGGCAGAGATGGGGGATCCACAGGGTTCCAGCAAACTGAGGCTGTTGGATCGTGGGTTTGGCAGTCATGGCAGAGGGAGACATTGGGGCCCAGCCTGCGGGAGGGGCAGCCGGGCTGAAGTGGGGAGAAGCAGCCCCCTCACCTCCATCCTGATCCCCAGGGGGCTCTGAGGACCGACTGCCCCGCACAGAGTCAGGCGCCACGAGGGGTAAGTGAGGGTCTCTGTGAGGAGTGGTGGGTGGGTCCATGGGGGCGCGGGCTGAGTTAAGACATCAGGAGACTCTGACTTGGACACGCCTTCCCCTGTCTGGGCCTCAGTTTCTCGAAGTGTTAAGGAGAGAATTGTGGCCCAGAGCTTAGACTCCCTGTCAGTTCTGACAGTGGTTCTGACCTTCTGAGAGAGGAGGCCTCACAGGGAAGCCCCCCAGGATGTGATTTTATGGGGTCTTGTCCCCTCTGCATCAGTGACAGTGACATTGTACGGGGGAGGGAGGGGCAGGACAAGGGTCCATGGGGTTCAGGCCCTTTCCCTTCAGCTCAGGGTGCTCAGCTGGAGTGGAAAGAGCAAGGAAGGCAGTCGGCAATCCCAGTTCAGTTCCCAGCTCAGTTACTTCCAACTGGGCGACCTGAAACATGTGACTTACCTCTCCGTGTCTCAGTTTCCTCATCTGTGAAATGGATGGATGGGAGTGGCAGTCTCCCGTTGCAGGATTGTCATGAGTTAGAGGAGATGACTGCACTGACCCCAGCACATGCCTGGCACATAGTAGGTGCTCAATTAAATGGCATCAAGGGCTCGTACATGGCATCACTTGTGCCCAAGGTCTCCAGTGGTACCTGAAGGCTGTGATCGGGATCTCCGTGGCCTTCATCCTGCTGCTGCTCTCCCTCCTCCTCCTCTTCCTCCTCATGCGACACTGGCGTCAGGGCAAATGCAGGATGTCAGGTGAGTAGGGAACGGGGCAACCCAGGTCACAGGAGGACGTGGGCTTAGGGCACCAGCTACAGGAAAACCAAATAGAAGGGAAAAGCAGCCTAGAAAAAGACTTTTCCAGAATCTCAAATGAGAAAATCCTGAAGAAAACACTTAATACAGCACACATGCACACATTTAAGGTACTTTTTACCTTTTTAATCTCATGAAATATTGAAACATGCACACAGTATGTGTTAAGATTTCCTTCTTGTCTCCTGAATCGCATGTGGAGGGCGGGTGCTCATTACCTCCCAGGGCTGAGACTCTGTCCGTCTTGACCCAGCCCAGAGACAGGCTGATCTCCAATTTCCTGCAGGGGCTGCAGACCCACAGCCCAAGGACTTACGCCTGAAGATCAGGTAATTGCCGCCCCGAAGATCCCAGACTCCCACCCTGCCCTCAGCCCTCTCTCTGCCACTAACACTCCTGTCTCCTCCCCAGCTCCAGCCCAGCTGCTGACGCCCAGGAAGAGAACCTCTGTGAGAGGAAAAAGGGGCCCCCATGGCGGGTGTGGACACAGATTTCAGTGGGCCATGGGGGGATGGGCTGGAAGGGCCTCAGGATTTGGGGTGAGAAGGACTGAAATCCCCCCTGAGCGACCTCGGGCCATCTCCTCACACCTGGACCTCAGTGGCCCATCTGGGAGCAGAGGGGCTGCAGCCCTGAGAGACCTCAGGGAATCCTGACAAGAGACACACCCCCTGTTCTGCCCCAGCAGATGCTGCCGTGAAGGACACACAGCCTGAGGAGGGCGTGGAGCTGCACCCTCAGGTGAGACCCCTGCCCTGTCCAGGCTGCCAGGGACCATCCTGTTGCCGTGCTTCAACCTATGGACACTTTGCTGTCCTCACGTCACCCAGCTCTCAGCAGTGTCCCACACTGACCTCTCCTCTTGGGCACCTGGGGTGTCCTGCTGTGACTTTACTCCTGGTTTCTGTGACCTCATGGCCCCCCCTATGTGGTTGCCTTTCCTGGTTCCTGTCCTCTGTCTGACCCTCTGGTTGATGGATGCACCCCCAGGTCTCAAGAGGATGCACGAATAAGTGAATCACCCACAAGTCCCCTAGGCTCCCCTTCATTCATTCACCCAACAGCGTGCACAGGGAGTTCCCTGTTTACCTGGCTCCATTGAGGTGCTGCAGGTACAGCAGTGAGCAATACTGTCTCCACACTCCTTAAACTCACATCATGGGTGAGAGAGACAACATGTAAATAAATGGGTAGCGTCCTAGAGTGCAAAGTGCTGTTAAGGAAAATAAAGTAAGGAAAGGGGGTAGAGTGTAGGGCATGGGGGCAAAGGAAACAGCAGTTTCAAAGGTCCTGAGGGAGCAACATTCTTTTTCAGGAAGATGGGCTGTGTGACTGGAGCCAAATGAGCGAGAGACAGCATGTTAGGATAAGAATCAGAACCATAGAAAGCATCCAGATGTCCAAGGCTTAGGAAGTTCCTGAAGATTCCATCAGGAAAGTAACCTCACTCTGTAACAGTGTGGACAATTGACTGGAGGAGGTCAGCAGTGGGATCAAGGAGACACTGTTTCTGTCCCTCTGTCTCCCTCTAGCAGGACCCCCATGATGAAGACCCCCAGGGAGTGACATATGCCCCGGTGAGCCACTCAAGATCAAGACTCAGGCAGGGGGTGGCCACCTCTCCTTCCCCCGTCAGAGGAATTGCTGGATGTGAAGTACAGGCAGAGGGACAGTCAGGTGGCTTCCATCCTCCCCAAGCTCCCAGGCCTCCCCCATCGCAATGACATTTCTATCTCCCCACTCTCTCCCTGCTCCAGGCTACTGCATCTGAAGACCCCCAGGACGTGACCTACGCCCAGCTGAACCACTTGACCCTCAGACAGGAGATGACATCCGCTTCCTCCCAGTCAGAGGAGCCACCAGCAGAGCCCAGCGTGTACGCTGCTCTGGCCATCCACTAGCCCAGGAAGGACCCGGACCCCACCCTCCAGCGAGGGAGACTGCAGGGACCCCAGAAGGCACAGGAGCTGCCCCCAGGAGACACTCAGCTAATGACTTCCAGCCAGCCTGGAATCCTAACGTGGACCACCAGGAGCTTCTGGGACTCATTGGGAGTCACCTGATTCTGCAATCAAAGATAACTGATATCCCCACATTTTGGACATAAAGCAACAGACTTCTCAGTAATGCATGAGTGAAATGAGAAATCCAAAACAGAAGGGAGAGAATGTTTTAAATTGAATGATAATGTAAACATTACACATCAAACCTATGAAATAGGAAAATTAAGAACCATGAGTGAATATATTAGAAAAGAAAAGCCTAAAAGATCAATGACCTAAGCTATTAAATCAAGAATTTGGAAAAATAATAGAAAATTATCCCAGATTAAGGTAGAAGGAGGGAAATAATGATGATGAAAGTAGCTACTAATGAGGACAAATAAAAACGTGAGCCAAAAAGTTTCATTCTCGAAAACATCAATCACACTTACAAATCCCAGCCACAATGCTCAAGGAAAAAAGAGAGAAAGCACATATTACATCATCAGGACAGCATCACAGATCCCACAGACTTTAAATACACAACAGATCATTATGATCAATTTTATGCCACTACATTAGAAAATGTAGACGAAATGGACAAAATCCTCAAAAACACAATATACCAAAATGATGGATAAAAATAAATAGAAAATCTGAATTGACATATATATTGAATATGTTGAACCTGTAAATAAAATTTTCCCAAAAAATGAACTCTGGGTCTGGAAATCTTCCCTGGTGAATGCCTCCAAACACTAACGCAGTCATGAAATACACATACACACACACACGGACACACAAACACACACACACATGCAAGCACATACCAGACTTAAATAAGCCTCTTCCCAAAAATAGAGAAGGAGGTAATATTCCTCCCAACACATTCTACGAGTCCAGGAAAAACTGATACCAAAACCCGACAAGGAAACTACAAAATGGGGAAAATCATAGGAAGCTCTCTCACAGGAACTTGCCTGTAGATTCCTACACAAAATATTCCCAAACAACACTCGGCAATATATAAAACGAATAACACAGCACAACAATGTTGGTATGTTTTTTTCAGGAATGCATGATTGGTTTCATACTCAAAAATCAATCGATATATTTCAAACATAAAAGAACAAATAGAAAAAGATGATCATATCAAGAGATTGAAAGCTGCCGATAAAACACATCACCACTTATAATGGGAAAAAACTCCCTCAGATATAAAAGGGGATTTCCTATCATTTATCAAAGCATCCTTAAAAATTGGGAAGAGAAATAATTTTTAAAGGTACAAAATTGAAATCTTTCTGCCTGTGACTGAGAAGGAGACAAGAATATTCACTATGACCTCTTCTATTCAGCAGGGCACTGAAAGAAACAATAAATAAAGTAAAAACAAAAACATGATAAGCACTGAATGGATGGAATAAAACTGTATTACTCAAAAATTACAAAATTGTGTGCATGGAAAACCACAAATAATAGAAACATCTATTATTCTAATTTGAAAAGCATTGATCCAATGTCGCTGGATACCACATCAATACATAAAAATCAGTTGCATTGCAGACTCCCAGTTTTGGACCAAGAGGAAGTAGAGCTATGTCTCCCTAACCCCCATGAGGCACAGTACAACTCCTTGACCTTGTACACACAACATCATGAGAACACGCCAAACAGTGCAGAGAAGGCAGCACATGGGCTAAGACTGTTAGGACCCCAGGAGTGACACAGCGGGTGTCCAAGGAGTCACGTGGGGGACCTGGACTGTAACCTCCTCCTGGCAGTAATGAGTCAGTACCCCAGCCAGGTGTCAGAAAAGGCTTTCTGTAACAGAAGATTTAAATACTATCCAGATTCTCACAATATTTTATCCAAAATGTCCAGGTTTCAATTTAAAAAACCACTCATCATAACAAGAATCAGGAAAATCTCATCTTGCATGAGAGAAGACCATTGTCAACAGATGCTGACACTGACATAACGCAGAGGTTGGGATCACCTGAGGAGGACTGTAAAGCACCATAATACAAATGCTTTGATGGGCAATTACACAAATGCTTAAATTAAATCTAAAAAATAAGTCTCAACGAGGAAATAGAAGATACAAAGAAGAAAGTAATGGAAATTTTAGATCTGAAAAATACAATAATCTAAATAAAAGGCTGCAAGGATGTTCTCAACAGCAGAATGGAGAGGACGGAGGAAATAATGAGCATGAAGACAAAACAACAGAAATTACTCAGTCTGAACAACAAGGACAAAATAAACCAGAAAAGAAGATGAACAGAGCCTCAGGACCTGTGGGGCTCTAACAAAAGATCTCACATCTATGTGATCTCAGTCTTAGAAGCAGAGGAGAAGAGGAGGAGACTGGAAAACTATTCAGCAAATCATGGCTGGAATTTCTCCAAACTTGGCAAAAGTCATAAACCGGCATATTCATGACACTCAGTGAATGCCTAAGAGGATAAGAAATCCACGCCAAGACTCAACATGATCCAACTAAGGAACAAAAGACAAGTTTCCTTTTTCTTGATGAGGAAGATTGGGCCTGAATTAACATCTGTGCCCAGCTTCCTCTATTTTGTATGTGGGATGCCGCCACAGCATGGCTTGATGAGCGGTGTATAGGTCCATGCCCGGGGTCTGAACCCGCAAGCACACGAACTTAACCACTACACCACCAGGCCAGCCCCAAAGACAAGTTTCTGGAATGCAGTGAGACAGAAATGCCACCTGACCATAGAGGGAAGCTATTCAGATGACAACAGGCTTCCCATCAGAAACCGGGAAGGCAGGAAGCAAGTGGAACATTTTGCAGGTGCAGAAAAGAAAGAACTGTTGACCCTGATTCTACAGATGGTGAAGTTATCCTTCAGGGATGAAGGGGAAATAAAAACATCCTCAGGTGGAGGAAGCTAAGAGGATTGATCACAAGCGGGCCTCCCCTAAATGGATGGAAAAGGAAGTTCTTGACCCAGAAAGGAACTGATAAAGGGAGGAATCTTGGAACATGAGGAAGGAAGAAAGAAGAATGAGAAGAAAACACGTGGACACTGGGACAGCGCAGAGGCAAGAAAGTCAAAACTTCCCAGTTATTTTCCCTCCATGAGCACTCACCTCACATTATTTTCAAATTTTGAGGCAGCGAAAACAAGCATACATGCATTGATGCAATGATGTTTGCAGCCTTTCTTGATGGGCTAATACTTTAGGAAGTAAGCATAAATTAAAGTTGTATTTAACTCCCCGAGCTCACACAGTGATGGGAGATGTTTGAATTCCACACAGCCCAGGGAACCTGTGGAACACTTGGAGCCATCAACACACCCCCTGAAGAGCCAGGCCTTGGTAGTGAGGCCAAATGAGCTGTAAGATTTGCCTAAACAGACTGTTGTTAAAGCCTTGAAAGGAAAAGCTGAACCACCAAGTCATTTAATCAACTTCCAAAACAAAGATACATACTCTTTAAAGAAAGGAAGCAGAATCTGTGTACTCAACAGCATAACTTTCATGTTGCCTGGCATCAAGATCGAAAACAATCCTGCATTTAGATGGACGAGCAGAGGGTAGGGCCACCCTCAAAGGCTTAAAGGAAGCAGTGGTGGTCCCGTCGTATCCCTGCTTAGGACACTAGCCCGGCCCCTGCAAAACAGGATGGATCATGTGTCATGGACGGTGGAGGGCCACGGTCCTCACCTGTACTGACTCCTGTCACAGCTGCTCTGCACGATGGACGCATTTTCTAGGGCAGAATTCTGCAGCCTCTGGTCACTTCTATGCAGCTGTGATCTGGTAACTAAGCAGCAGCTCTTCTTCACCTGGGATGGACTGCAGTACACGTTCACTGTGTCCAGGGATAAACTAACGCTCCCTCTCTCACAGCATCGTCCAAAGGGACCCTCAGCACCTTGACATTGGGGAGAACATCACATTTGTTCACAATATTGGTGACATCGTGTTACTATGACTTGATGAGTAGAGAGTGGTGAGTACTCTGGTAGCTCTGGTATGTACTCCAGAGGGTGGGAGATTTAAAAAAAAAAAAGGGAAAAAGGAAACCAAAGATTCAGGACCTGCCAATGCAGTGAACTTTATAGAACTGCTGCTCTCTGAGCCCTGCCATGACATACCCTGTATTGCACGTTTCAACGCGTCACACTAAGAAAGAGACACACTTAAGGTATGAGGCTTTGGATGGTGGAAGTAGCAAATACCATACTTGAGAAAACAAATTTCTCCCTTACCAGGTGACTGAGAAGTCTGCCAGTTTGGAGCACAGAGGAAGATAGGGCTATGCAGTGCCAGGACCCTACAGCCATGGCCCTGTGATCTGACAGATTCCGTGGTCCCTTAGGTACCTGTGTGCACTGGGACGCTGTGTGAATTCAAAGCTGAGCCCCAACAGCAGAGTTAAAACTTAGCTCCCTTGGGTTCATGCCATCACATCACCTGCAACAGACAGTGGATGCCACTTAAAAAACTGCTCCTGAACAAAGAGAACAGATTAGTGGTCACCAGGGGAAAGGGGGATGGGGGGTGGGCACAAAGGGTGAAGTGGTGCACACACAATATGATTGGCAAATAATAATGTACAACTGAAATTTCACAAGGTTGTAAACTATCATAACCTCAATAAAAAATAAAATTAAAAAAAAAAAACCCTGCTCCTGATATGCTACTCGTTCCAAATAGAAACTGAATGACTGACAAGGACACATCAGGTGTCTATGCAACTGGAACCATCCATCATGAGCTGGCTATTGTCATTACCACCAAGCCCTAAGGTTGCAATCCATTGTTGCATAAGAGTGGTACACCGAGGGTCATGGACAGGTCCAGAGGACAAACGTGAGTCACACAAGGATGTGGGTTAGGTGCACATGACACCCACATCTGTACCCATAACAATGGCTCCTCTCCTCAGCCGTCATCTACAGCTCTGTGGCCTGGGTCCTGCCTGGGTGGGGGATGTTTTGGTGTAGTGTTGCTCTACAGCCCCCCACAGGGGACTCTGAGAGAGAAAATGCCTTCAGGGGGCAGATATTCGAAAAGGATATTTTTTCGAAAAGGATAATGCACTTCTTGTGGAAAGAGAACCAGCTAGATGTAAAGGTGTACACGGACTCCAGGAGAGCAGCAAATGCCTTTTCTACATGGTCAAGGGGCTGGAAAGAGCAAAACTGAATGGAGGAGACAAGGATATCCAGGAAGCAGCCACGTGTATGGACAGATGTACAGGAGTGGGCTCAAAGCACTGGATCTTTGAATCAGATATTAATGTCCCTAGAGAGCCCCACTGTAGACAAGGTCCTTAACAACCAAGGGGACCAGGTGGCTTGTTCAGCAGATATTAGCCAGCCTCTGCTCTTCATTGTTCCAGAGTTTACACCGTTGCCTATGAAGGACAGCCATGGCGGCAGAGATGGAAGCTCTTCATGAGCCTGGTGTCATGGACTGCCTTTCACTCAGACTGATCCAG